GCATTTGACCCGGCAAATGCTCTATATTTGGTCTCTCTAGCAGAACTCATTGTCAAACTAACAATCCTTTGTTTCTTTTATGACCGTAAGGACATGACTATAAATACCTTGAGTAAGCTAATAACAAGCACCTGATTCTCTGTGCAAGATTGCTAGTTCTGGTTAATTACAAAGTAGCAACTGTGATGTGTCAATCTCCCGTAACAATCGGTCAGTATGATCATCTGGAATTTATTCAAAGTCTACCAGAATGTTTATGAAATCCATGTTTTAAAAAAATATATAAAGCCAACTTGTTAGCATTGCTAAAATCATCCAAAAGTTAAGAAAAGTATTGACACACTGTTCTTAAAAAGTTTAAATATCCATTACGCAGCATTTCAAAATTGATTTAAATTTTTGGTAAAATACTGCAGAAAATATTTTTAGGATTCTGAAGCAGCAAAGAGTCAAGCAACTTTGATGGGATGATCTTTTTTAAACTAATAGTCGATTTAGTCCTTACTATTTGATGCAGTACCAGAATATGTATGAAAGATTTTATTAGTTCTATATAATTCTAATATTACTCTGAGATTGATCAGATTTCCAATTTCCCCTTGTACATCATAAAATGAAAATGAAATGAAAATGAGATTGATCAACTGAAATTGGAGGCTCGAGGTAGACAACCTAATGTTCCAGTTCGGGATATTTTGGCTAGACGTGATCTGGAGTTTATGAAACTCATATATGTTTACTTTAAGAATACTAACCTTAGATTGTAAGTTTGATTAACCTTGTGTTTAGTTTGTGTATTGTGCGTGTAGGTTTTTTTTTAATGTTTGTCTTCAAGATGAATAGAAATAAGTTCATGTTTTAGGATTAATTAAATATTTGTATAATAAATCATATTTCAAACCTCCTTCTCCCTTTCCCCATCCAAAAAATTGTAAATCTCCACTAACCTCGAGACGACCGCGAGTAATCGGTTCAATTCCTTTAACTCTAGATTTTAGACATTAATCATAATCATGTATAATGAAAATGATAACTCGGCTCTGTAAAGTTTATTCGATTGAGCCTGTACAAATAAATTATTATAAAAAAAAAAAAACTGAAATTGGTCAGAGACCAATTTCATTCTTGACATCATTCAACTCACAACACTCGGTAGACCAGTAGGCAATTCTATTTCAAGCTAAAATTCTCCTGGCTGAAGTGAGAATCACAGCCTAACATCGTGGTACTCACGCACAGTTTACCTAAACTACGGGTTACTCCACAGGACCTTTACAAATAATTTTATGCCAAAGAATAATATTATTAAATAACTTAAATGAAAGTCTGAAAGCGTCAATCAGGATCTTGAAATGATTCTAAATTCTGGAATTTATATTGTTAGTCTGTTATTTTTTATTAGTCTGAATGTACTTCATTTACAGAGTTCAATGTTAATCATCCTAGAATTTTCTTCATACTTCTATTCTGGATTCCCCTAAACTAATTAGGATAATATCCAAACTTTTTCAGTAATATTCTAAGAGTGCTTAGCATTATCTCTTGTAGTCTCTTATAAATCGCTCTCTGATTCCACAATTCCCTCAAACTGGTAATAATTTCCAAGAATTGGCATAATTTTGTCTCAATTTTTCTCTATGAAATTCCCTTAGAATATTCTTAATAATTTCCTTGGTGCGCTCTCCAGACCGTCACATTCTTCTCAGAGTTATCCTCTTTAGTATACTCGAAGTACTCACGATCAGCATTCTCCTTAAGTTTCATCTTAAGAATTTTCTATGATTTCTCTTCCGAAATCTAACTTTTTCCTTTCTTCACAAAATTTCCATGCAATTGTCATCAGAGTTTGCAAAAGACAATTTATACCGTCTTCACTTCAATCAAAGGTTGCACAGACTGCATACTTGCGCTTCCAGGGTGGCCAGCGAACCGGGAAAACCGGCAATACCGGGAAATATCCAGGAAATTGAAAAGTAACCGGGAAAACCGGGAAAAACCCGGGAATTCTATGAGAGAACCGGGAAAAATAAATTAAACACACCATAGGAATAAATTTTCAAACCAGAATTTTAGAATAAACCATGAAAACAGAGTGATTTTTTACCATATGAATGTCTTTCTTTATTTGCTGCATAATTGTCTTCAGATTCCCACCTTATTGTTTTTAGAATTTAATCACTCAGCAATATTTCATATTTGAAGATGCTGGACTTCAGAAACTAATATTTTTAAAAACTGAAATTGAACTATTCTTTTCCCGGGTTTTAATTTTATTCAAAATTCTCATGATATGAATTTCAGAACGAACTTAGAATCCTGCTTTATTATTATTATTTAGCTTTATTTAGGAGGCTTTCAGCCTTAGGCTGGTTCGCCTCCAATTGGAATCCTGCTTTATATTATTATAGAATTCTTCTTAAATAAACCAGAAAACACTCTGCGTAATAACTACCGTTGAATTCTTTTTGAATTTCCTTGAAACCTCTTCTAAAAAATTGTTTGAAATCCGTTTTAGAATTGTCTTAAACCTATTCGGAGAATTAGATTTCATTGAAATCCTTTTCAAACTTTTCTTTTAACTCTATTCAAAAGAGCATAAATCTTTCGAAATTTGGAATTACTTTAGTATTTAGAAACCCCTTGGAGTATTTAAAAGAATTTCTTTCTAATTATTAGCAATTTTTTTTTTGCAATAAATTTTGTTGGAGCTATTTGATGAATCTTTCACACTAGGGTTTAAATTATCACCAGAACACTCTTAGAACACTGTGTCTTCAAAAATTACCTAATAATTTAATTTAGAACTTGCAATCTTCTCTCCAGAAATCCTTCCAAATTCTTCTAACAATTTTTAAGGGCTTCATGTCAGAATAATTCTGGAAATTTTTCTCAGAACTTCTCCTTCGAAAACTATGTGGGAATCCTCCTCAATAGTTGTTTTAAATCAACACTTCGAATACTTTTAAATTTTACTGAAAATTACAGGGTTCGTCCACAAGATTCTATCGATTGTTCTGTAATTTTTTATAACCCTTAAAATGCTTCCAAGTCTCAGAGCCTTGACAATTATGACTGCACGACTATTTAATAAATATGATTTTTTTTATCAAATCTGTGATCTTGGGAAATTTCTAAACTCTCACATTTTAACTATTTTTCCTCCAAATCTTGCATCACGAAAATTGTTAAATCCCAAATTGTGAAGAAAATTTCTATTTTCAGACTCTACACAAATTTCAAAGCCCCAGAATCTTGGGAATCATTCTCTTTAGTAAATAATCTTTCAGTAATTTTTTTTTTCAAGTATTGGTCTATTGGTCGTGGGTATTAAATTTCATGAACCATGTTTAGTTTCACGTTGACCGAGCTCAAACGTCAGTAGGTTTCACATATATTTTTTTCGTGTCTAACTTTGTACATCAGCGCGGGTATTGAAAGGTTAATGTTTATGTTAGTATAGACAATGGAGTGAATACACATTTTCTTTATCCGATATCACTATCAATTTGCTCTAATTCTCATTTGTATCAAGTTCACTTTTCTGAAACATTTTTTAAATTAAATCTCTTATTCTTCACATTTTTTTCTTAAAACCTATTCATCCAGATAGTATTTGGCCTACTGACCTTAATCTCTGTCCCTCAATTAATTCTAGGGCTTTGAAATCATAAAATGTATCGAGCATAAAATGTGGTAGAATTCGATTTATCAAAGTATCTCGAAAGATCAATAAATTGTTTTGAATACATTAAATGACACATGAAGTTGAATTTTTCCTATAGCTTTAGAAAACACTTTCTGTAATTTTTCTTTTATTTTTCCCACAAATAATCACTGAAAATTTTTAGTTAGCCACGTTTTAAAAATGCGTACAATAAAATACGTTTTCGGGAATTTAAAAATGAAAAGTCACTGGCCACCCTGCACTTCTCTGTAAACAATTTTCAGAATTACCTTAAAATTCTGAAATCTAGGGCGATTCAGAATTCTAAAGTATTTCAGACTGCTAAGGTAACTCAATATTCACAGGTACTTTAAAATTCTATTTAAAATCTAATTAGTTGTCTTCCAAAATTATCACGAACATACTTCAAAGTCCTGGTGGTTGTCTAGATTCAAAAGCCTTGCTAATTTTCCAAAGCTCAATTTATTGTTTTCAATCCTGAACAGTTTTCGATTTCTCTAAATTCCAAAATTTGGAAAATTCCTCCATATCCATGATTCCAAAAAAATAATTATAGCCAAATCTAAACAAAACAAATCCTGGCTCGGTATTTTTAAAAATTTGAGGAATTTTTACGGCCAATAATGTTTAGAAAATGTCTCAATTTTCAAGATTCTGCAACCCATTACATACACGTTGTAACAATTCCATGTCCAACGTTGATGGCCTTTAGTAATTAAAGTAGTAAGTTTGGCTTTTTATTTTTTGATTAGAGGGTCCATTAATTGCACTGATATTTATAAAGCAACACATTTTCAATCTGGGAAAATCTGGAACATATTTAAAAAATCGTGGTCTGTCTGTGTATCTGGCTAGACGACTGAAAGTCTGGAAAATCCAGATAAATCTGGAATACTGGCAATACTGACATACCACATTGTCTCGTTTTCACATTCGGCTTCATAGCCCAACACCTAAATTCCAATAAAGTCGCACTTGTCCAAGCAGCGAATCATGCGTCCCCATTTCACCGAAAGCCAAAGCCTACACCCTTCACAACATTCTAACTCGGCCAGGTCCTACAATACTTCTGGCCAATTGTCGTGTGTATCATAATTAATTACAAAAACGAGCACAACCATCGGTTCTCGTTTCATGTTAGAGACTACAAATGATACCGTTCACGTTCCATCCACCGGAATAAATCACATTTAGCCTCGCTAATATTCACCAACAGTCTCAACTCGACCGCGACCATAATTCCTCCCAACAAAAAAAAAAAAAAAGGAAAAAACAGATATAAACCAACTGTGTTCCCATTTGCCTTTCCTCCCAGCCTACAAACGACACATTTACGACGCCCGAAGCTCACGGAAGAGTGCCACCGGCGGCGAGCGTTACGCCACGAGCGGCGGTGGCATGCGTGACAGCAGCAATTACACTGCTTACAACAATCGTGACTACAGCAGTGGCAAGTACGGTGGCCACTTCGACCATTGGTCCTACGGACGGTACGGCAGCGGTGGGACACGGTCCCACGGGAACAGTGGGACCGGGGGTCGCGAGAACAGCCGTACGTTTTCGTTTCGAGGATTTTTCGAGACGACGCCGTTTTTCCGCTTCTTTGGTAGAGTAGCACATTGTTCAGCCCAACAAGCCAGTATAGTTGGATGCTAACGATAGAGAATGTGGTTTTTTTTTCTGTTCCGTTTCATTTTGCTTTGTTTTTAACCCATAAAGGAGAATTTCATTTTCTCTAATGTACTTTTTGCAGAGCTGGCGATTTTTTCAGCGGATTACTTATGTTAATAAATCAAACGATTTAGCGACATTAACCATGCAAAGGATACCCCCTTCCAACGCAACAGCAACGCCCCTAAATTGCTCTAATCCATTTGCAAGCGACATTCATTGACGAACTATTGGTCGCACCCGTCTCTTCCTGAAATGCAATCTAATGTTTCATTCTTTGTTATCAATGCTAATTTTTGCGTGACTCAAACGAAGTGTCCCCTTAACCCATTTGAGCAGTTCCACGCCAAATGACGAATCGATCAGATTCGACCTTCTTCGATTTCAATGATACTTTGCATAATTGTTTGTTATGGGTTATCATTCACATTTGTGCTAAATTCGGTTATTTTGGATGTTGCAATTTTTTTTTCAAAATGGCTTATTGGACATTTTTTTCCATAAATCGTAGCATTCTAACCGATATGACGTTTGAGACAAAGTTATAGAGAAAAGTAAAAAGTTTCTAGGAAAAATATACACGGTCATAAAAAAACAAGTTTAAAGACTTAAGTAACTTAAAAAGTTCTTTTCCAATATTTATAATAGTAGAAAAAAAATTGTCTTAGAGGTCATTTCGATTAGAAGGGACATTTTCATACTACGATTGATTGAAAAATATAAAATACACCATTATGAAAAAAATAGCAAGATCCAAAATGGCCGAATTTTAGCACAAATGTGAATGATAACCCATAACAAAGAATTATGCAAACTTTCATGCAAATCGGAGAAGGTCAAGTCAAAAAATCATTTTCTTTTTGTTATTTGCCCTGGAACTACTCATTTGTATGATTTCCTACGAGTCGAAGATTTCCTCCCTGACTGTAAAATCAACACATTGACTAAAACCGAAATTCAGCGATCGCATTTATTACTAAAGCTGTTTGTAACTGTGTTGTGTTGCTACTAAACCAAAACAAAAAAAAAATAACCCATTTTACTTGTGCAAACCTGTCTAGTCTAATCGTAACCGTTTTCCCAACTTTCGCAGAGAAAAAACGTCGCATCTATGACCAGTACGGCAAGGAAGGTTTGATAAACAATGGGGCCGATCGCTACCACCAGAGCAGCCGACACCGGCGGCACAACGGCGGAGGCATCCACGACGAATTCGACATTTTCGGAGGATTCCCGTTCACATTCCGCGATCCGGAAGAGGTGTTCCGCGAGTTCTTCGGTGGCTCGCCGTTTGAGGAGATTTTCAGGGGTAAGTTGAGGCTTGTCCAACCGGACGAATTAATACTAATCGAAACCTTTCGCCTGCAGTGACGTCGCACCACCACAACGGACGCCGGGCGAATGGTGCCGGCAATGGTCAGCGACACTCCCACCCGCAGAATGTGATCAGCTCGCCCTTCATGTCCCCGTTCATGAGCTTTAACCTGATGGACGACTTATTCAACGGGGACCCGATGGGACACCGGGGCGGCGGCGGCGGCGGTTTCACCTCTATATCCGAGTTCAGCGTCGGTAGCGGACCGGTGAAACGAACGTCCACCTCGACCACCTTCGTCAATGGCAAGAAGCTAATGACCAAAAAGTAAGTACCCTCTGATCGACTGGTAAGCTCTAAACTTCACCACTTCAGGGTAATCAGTTCGGGTTCATCCAGAAGCTGAGTAGATTGGAACATTTAATTCGATGCTTGCTTCTCAGTATTTTGCCAATGAGTTCCTTCTTGAGATACGGAGAAAACTGAACGCCGAAACTAAATAAAATTACTGAAATACTTTCGACCCAGGGGAAGGAGGGGCATAATGAGCATCTTAAATTTCTAATTGTTCAAAGCAAATTAATTGGTTGTAAGTTCAATTTCAATATGCTTTTGATTTTTCACGTGTTGGCATAATCAGCGTGTAAGTTTGTTTATTATTTCGCAAGGCATCTTTCTTTGACGGATATTGTGGTATCATCTGCGAACAGGAAAAACCAGCAACCGCCTCCGAGGGGAGGAATGTCGGAAGTGTAGATGCTGTAAAGCAAAGGGCCCAACAGACTTCCTTGCGGAACACCTGCTGGGATGGAGAACGTGTCTGAAAGACGACGCAACTCTCCCAGATTGGCATACCGTACTCGATTACAGGAAGGATGATTTGTTTGTAGACAACAAGCTTATTTTTCAGGGACAGGGTTGACTTCCTGTTGATAAGTGGATACCGTGCCGATTCAAATTTCGGACACTTAAACTCGAATTTCGGACACTTTTAAAAGTTGATTATCTCGGTCGAATATGATCCACATGTCTTGTAAATTTTAAATTTTTTTGACTAGTGCCCTCCATGATCATCTAACATTATTACTTTGTTTCTAACTGGTTGTAATATTTAATTAAAAATGAAAGTGTCCGAAATTTGAATCGTCCGAAATTTGAATCGGAACGGTACAACGATCTTATCAAGATGTTGCACTTGGTTTTTGTTTTGTCAACGTGCTCCCTGAAAAGAAGCTTGCTGTCTAGTGTTAGCCCGAGGTACACGACCTCTTTGGACCATTCCACCACTGTGCCGTTCAGGCAGATCTTGTTATTCTCCGACGGAACAAGTCTAGGAGATATAGAGTGTGGAAAGATAATTACCTGGGTCTTGCCGCGTTGATACGGATCTTCCAACTGTTGAAATATTCAGACAGGACGTCCAGGCCTCTCTGAAGTTTGGCAGTCAGAGCTCCGATGACCCTACCTTTGTAGACGATAGATGTGTCATCTGCGAACAGAGACAACGATCCACCATCAGGGAGAGCCGGCATATCGGAGGTGAACAGGTTGAATAGGATGGGGCCAAGAATGCTTCCTTGTGGAACCCCGGCACCGATGTTGAAAGCATCCGATGAGATGCCATTCAGAGAGACTCGGAACGTCCTGTCTGATAGATAGTTGTTTATGATCTTCACTAGGAAGATTGGAACACCGTACTGCTGCAATTTGAACACCAGGCCATCATGCCAGACATTGTCGAATGCTTTTTCAACGTCCAACAACGCCATGGCAGATGTTTTCGAAACAGACTTGTTCCGTCTGAGAATGTTTGTTACTCGAGTCAGCTGGTGGACGGTCGAACGACCTTTCCGAAAACCAAACTGTTCCTCGAGTAACAAGTTGTTTTCATCGGCAGATGTTAGGAGCCGGTGGTACAGTGCTCTTTCGAACAGTTTTAATAACCCTGAGAGAAGACTGATTGGCCGATAACTTGAAGGAGAGGACGGATCCTTCCCAGGTTTCCGGATGGGTATGACTTTAGATGACTTCCAACACGAGGGGATGGTTGTAGAATCAGGAACTTAAGTGTTTGAGTTCCAGATTCAGGATGTTTTCGAAACCTGGGGCCTTCATGTTTTTAGATGATTTGATATAGGCCAACAGTTCGTCAGCCGTAATCTCGGATTCCTCTGGAAAAATGTTAGGAATCTGAAGAAGATTCGTTGCATTTTCAGCAACCTCAGATTCATGAGGACTGATGATGTTTTGTCCGAGATTATGGGAGCTGACGAAGTGTTGACCTATCGCGGCAGCCTTCTCTTCAGGAGTTATCAGATGAACCACTGGGTCGCCGGGACGATCCAGTGGGGTCAGTGGTGGAATGGGCCTAGGCTTGTTTTTAAGAATTTTTGTAAGTTTCCAGAAGGGCTTAGCACAATCTGGGAGAGAGCGGATCTTACTAGCAAAATCGTTATTTCTGAGATCCACCATCCTGGCCTGAATGATCTTTGTTAGTCGATTACAATTGGTCTTCAAGTTAGGCAGGCCAGTACGCTGGTACTGCCTACGAATGGTGTTACGGAGTCTAATGAGATCTTTGGTAGGGCTGTCAAGGTTCAGAGTGTTACTCACCTGTCTGGATACTGGCACGTGTTGTTCCCTGGCCCGGGAAATCGCCTCCTCGATGGTTTGTAGACACCGGTCAACATCTTCCGACGTCCCCGGTTGGACATCGTAGTCGATGGTTGTGTCGACGCAGTGTTGATATTGCACCCAGTTGACTCGATGGTAGTTGCGCCGGGAAGCTTCGAATCGGTTTACCGAGGATCCAACTTCGGCCACCACCGGGTAGTGGTCCGAGCTCAGCTCCTGGAATGCCACAGGTAGCTTACGAAGATGTCGATGGTCGCATGGACCCCAGACCGACTCAACCGGGTGGGAGAGTCCTGGGCCAAGATGTTATAGTGGCCCTCTTGCAGGTCTTCATTGAGGATGATGCCGTTTCTATTGCTCCGACTGTTGCCCCAAGCTTGGTGTTTTGCGTTCAGATCGCCAGCGATGATAAAGTTCCCGCTCCTCCGGGTGAGTTTGATGATTTCTTTGCGGAGGGCCACTGACGACCCGTCCCTGATGTTGGTTTGCTTGGGGCAGTGGACCGTGATGATGGAGATTGGGCCAAGTGATGTACTTATCTCCACTCCGATGGCTTCAATTGTTTTCAGCTGGAAGTTTGGTAGCAGCCGGCAACTGATGTCCGTCTTGCAGCGATGGCCACTCCTCCACCTCCAGAGCAAGTGCGATCAAGTCTGACGAGCCGGAAGTCGGGAAGGAATACGTTCAGTTCTGGCTTCAGATGCGTCTCGGTGATGATAGCAATGTCGACCTCCTTGGTGTTGAGGAAATCGAGTAGCTCTCTATGCTTGTTCGTCAGTGAGCAAGCGTTCCAATTTGCAATTTTTATAGCTTCACGGTCCATACTTGGTGACGAGTGACAAGGCAGTATGAAGCTGTTCAGATCGAGTCTTGCAGGTACGCATGATGATGATGACCTCGGCCACGAGCGTCACAAGTTCCTCCGAGGTGAACGGAGAATCGTCGACAGATTCACCTGAGACAGCACCAGCGTATGATAAACCAGGGGCGGTGGATGAACCTGGAATTGGCTGGGCCGCAGCAACAGCGAGACGATGCTGAACTGTCCGACTGTTGGGAACCATTTGGATACTCGCGGGATTGGCTTGTTGGTTGTTGAGCGGAAGCGGGGCTAGGTTCGGAACATGTCGACGGGGCTGGAGAGCTGGGTACTGGACTTCCGTTAGTACAGGAGGCGAACGATGATTACGATGATTAGGTCGACAGTCGAGCAAAGAATAACAGTTCCGGAAGGATAATGTTGTTTTCCTTGAGCAAACTTGAGCAAACGAATGAGAATGAGTTTCTCGAACAATTTGCTCAGCGCTGAAAAGAGGCTGATTGGGCTGTAGCTCGAAGACAATGTTGGATCCTTATCGGGTTTGCGGATTGGTATAATTTTTGCGCTACCTTCCAGACGCTTGGAAAGTTGTACTGCTCCAAGCATCTGTTGAAGGTAGCGGTCAAAAGAGACTGCATGCTGAGTCTCTTCAAGATTAAGTTGAATATGCCGTCAAACCCGGGAGACTTCATATTCTTGGTGCACTTCAGCGCTAAGCAAATCTTTTGTACTGTACAAGGGGAGGCATCTAGGTTTTGAACGCAATGCGCAACCTGATCATCGAGCGGACTTGGGATAGTCGAACAAATCAAATGCGATGAAGCGACATGCTCGCCGATCGCATCTGCTTTCTCCTGTGGGGTGATTAAAAGCTCTGAGAGGTGGAATGGGTTTGGGATGAGTTTTCAAGACCTTGACTACCTTCCAGAATGGTCTGGAGCGGTCGTCCAGATTCTGGACAACACGCGCGAAACTTTCATTTCGGAGTGAGTCCATTCTGGAAGCAATCTGCCTGTTCTACGTTTCACGTTTTTTGTCCAGATCTCTAGACCTTTGAAACTGGCGGCAATGAACATTTCTCAAGCGAATCAATAATTGGGTGTGGGAATCAATGGCAATAAACTTACCCCTCACAGGAACTCGTCGAACGCACGCCTAGTCGGCCACGTGTATATGCTTGATGAAGTTTGTGGGAACGCGACTTCACGGAATAAAAAAGGCACGGCGTTTTAGTAATGATAGACTTATATTCTCTACAGTTCTACAAACTCGTGTTCACTTTAAGACGTATAGCGTTATCAACTGTCAAACTTTAGCGGCGCCGGTACAGGACTGCAACGCCTGTCATCTGCGAACAACTCAAGTGAAGCCGAATTTCTCTGGTGCTTATTCGACAGCTCCTCCTTTTCCTCTATGATTAGGCTTGGTACATGTTGCGCCGCTTTGCGGAACTCATAGATCATCTCATAGATAAAGTTTTCTAGATATCGTTATAGGAAAGCATGATTCACGCAAATTGTGCGCGTCAATTCGAAAACAACTAAATCATTTTTCAATTGTCCATTGCGGGAAAGTAAGAATGGGTTTGAAGGCACTACATATGTTGCCACCTTGCCGCATTTAATGTTACATGGCTGGAGCTTAAATATGTTATGGGTCACCAGCGCTGCTGATGTTTTCGGCAGTTTCAAGAACTGGATCGCATTGCCGGTGGTGTAGTGATAAGGGTGATTGTATCTCACCCCAAAACCCCTGGGTTCAATCTGTCAAACTCCGTAGAGGGTTCTCAATTCGCTTTCATCGGATAGGGTGTATCCACAGTTGCCCCCATAGTTACAAGAACCGAACACGGTGACCGGATGATGTAACTTTT